AAATCTTAGAATAAACTGAATAAAACGATCGGCAGAGTTTACTCTATTGTAAAATATACTTGTACATGATTTCAAGATGCACATAAATATTTGCGCATATCGTTTTATTAATTGTTCAAGATCTTTATCTCCTCTTCGCATTTTCCCCTTTTCGCATTGTTACATTTTCGCATTGATTGTATTTTCCCTTTTTCGCATTGTTACATTTTCGCATTGATTGTATTTTCCCTTTTTCGCATTGTTACATTTTTGCATTGTTAAAATGAATTTTGTAGATAATATGTTAATCATATATGAAGCATGGTTGCTACGGCTGATTTTAAGAAATTTACCCGTTGAATTTGAGTTCGACTCCATAACTCGTCAGCATATGTGTTATCAATCTGCGCATGCTTGACCGGAACGCAAATATGTGAAAAAGCAAAAATGCGAAAAAATGGCAATGTAAAAATACAAAAATGCGAAAAAATGAAAACACAACATTGCGAAAAAAAGTCAAAATGAAACAATGCGAAAAAGCGGAAATATGACAGATGAAATGCGAACAGACGACAGATTTTACGTGGCGTGTTGTTGTCATTCTTCTGTCGTATTTTCGCTTTTTCGCCTCCAAAATCCGAAAAGGCGAAAACTCGAAGATTGTCGTCCATTTGTGATTTTTGCATTTACGCATTTTGGAGGTAAGGAAGGGAAAACACGATATGGCGTCAATCAGCCACCATAAGGAAGTGACAACTGACGGTTTTCAAATAGGTGCAGCGTTTTTTTTGTAGTATGGCTTGTGACAGTAAACAGCTTTTAATTTCCTTGATAGAGAAGGAAGAAAAATATTTATCATTCTAGTCAGCGAATAAAAATTAAGATCCACTGAATCACACGACATTTCATAATTCGAATGACCTTCCTTGTACATTTGTATAATTGTATAAATCCGCCGTAAAGCGTTGTATTTTGTAATCTTTCTATATTTGTATCATGGTCTAACAACCCTTTCATACTGAAAAGGCTATTTATAGTATATCATGACTGTTTTGACATTGCAAACTAAAAGCGATAACTTTTATTATTTTGCAAACCGATCAGCTAAAAGATTCTAGATTTGTGGCAGATACTCACGATACTGTAACTTTATCTTAACACAACATTTGTATTTGATTAAATAAACGTTAGCATGACATGTTTAATCAATTGACATATTCGGTGTCCTGGAGATGAACCTTCTACGTGATATTTCTAGACACAGTTAACACTTAAAATACCAACATCTAAAGTACTTAAGACGCTCTGTTCCTACAACGACCATAAAATATGTTTTATACGTCTTTACTAGTGTTATAGTGTAAGAATATTTGCAGACATATATTGAAAATACTGGTTTGCAAGGTCATGTAAAAGTCATGATATTTTCCGCATACACATAGGATGTCACTTTAGCATAATTCATATCTCAGTTTTTATGAAGTCATGGCAACAATTGAATGTCTCAACTTTGAAATATATAAACAAATGTAATTAAAGAAATTTAACATTCAAGGTTTACAACAATTATTGTCGTATGAAAAACAGGAAACAAGATCCAGGTCCTGGGCTCCTTGCTGCTAGTTCTTGTTGCTGAGTCGTGTGGGGGTTGCGTTTATTGAACGCCACATTTCCTTGTTTATCTTGTTTATCATATTTCATGTATGGGAAGGACAAGATAAAAATGCTCTGCTTAAACTTCAAAAGGATTTTTGTAATACAATATATATATGCTATAATAATTATATAAGTTAATAAGGTTTTGTCAAATTTACATCACTTAATTTTTAAACTATCACACCTAATTTCTACACTCAAAACACAACTCTGAACCAAGATTCTGACCAAGACTATTTATGTGATAAGTATTCAATGTTTGTCTAATAATTGTGAAGTTCCCCTCGACAGACGTCTTAAGGTATTCAAAAATAAAAAAAAATTAAAAAAAAACAAAACAGTTTCTTTATATATCTGAAAGAAGAATACATTTGATTCGCGCGAGATTTGTTCGTAATAAAAAAGGACAGTATCTTGAATAACCACTATGAGACAATATCCATGCGAATTCTTGTTAACATCTATTCTATATTCATTAATTTCATAGCACACTATGTATAAAACTGATGTTTTCCTGCAAACGATATCTCCATAGAGCCTTTATAATCCCATGAATATAAATCACTAGATCTAATCTAACTAGGCAGCAGTCCATATTCTAGTTCTCGAGAGACTTCTACAAGTATCATGAAAGAAATATTCCGTTTTCTTAACAAATCATTCAATTCGACAACCAAGGTCAGTCAATATAAATATTATCTCTCATAAAATAAAACATAAATATTATCTCTCATAAAATAAAACTTACATGAAATTATTTTGCAAAAAAAACCAACATATTTTATTGTTGGAGTTTAATGACATATCAAACATTATTGATCATATCTTGATTAAGCAATATTTAGTTTGGAATACTGAAAACATCCAAGAACTAAAAAAAATCTAAACATGCAGTAAGTAATAAGTTTGTGGTAAGGTTAGAGCACTGACAGATGAAGCTTGATAAATGTATCAAAATTTGTCCCTACAATTTTTAAACAGCGGTGGAGATGTTATACGGAAATGGCCGAGAATATGCGAAGATTGCCTCTCTTGTTTAAGTGTCCATACTTTCTTTATTTTGATTCTATTATATTGCAATGAAAACGCAAAAAATAATGATTAAGTAACTTACACAACCCATTATATTATAATGGAGCAACCGAACAATTTAAACTATAACGTGTGCGATTATTACAAGATAAGGCAACTATTGCATTTATACGGTGTTCCGCTAGGGCAAGTGAACCGAAAGCACGAAACATGACAGTAAGATGGTGACAGAACGACAGTTCGATGGTGATAGTACGATGGTGACAGTACGACAATACGATGATGACAGTACGATGGTGACAATACGACAGTACGATGGACTGTCACCATCGTTCTGTCGTGTTTCTCCAACGTACTGTCGTATTGTCACCATCGTACTTTCGTATTGTCACCATCGTACTGTCGTCTTTTCACCATCGTACTGTCACCACCGTACTATCACCATCGCACTGTCATACTGTCACCATCGTACTGTCGTATGTTTAAAATCATACTGCCGCATTCCTGTCGAGCATTCTTAAACATTTCACTTAACATGGCTTGCGAAACTTAGAACTTATACCGGCGTTTTATTAAAAAAAGCTTTACTCTATCAACGATCAACTTTCGAGGAAATCGAAAGTTAACAAAATTAAAATCCATCTACATACACAAAGAGTTGTATGATAAAATGTACACCTGTGTCTTCATAATTTGTAGTTCAACAGATAGGCTAATTATAGATTTTGAATTGTAAGATATAGCATTATAATTATATAAGATATCAACTTCAATTTCAAACTACTTTCATCAATTCAAGAATTAACGTCTATGTGATGCCATTTTTAAAATTAAACTTTATGACACGGTCAATGTTTACTTCAATGTTTTTTTATAAATTACGTACAACAGTACGAAGTACGATGGTGGCATTACGACAGTACGATGGTGACAGTACGATTGTGAAAGTACGACAGTACGATTGTGACAGTACGATTGTGACAGTACGACAGTATGATGGTGACAATACGACAGTACGACGGACTGTCACCATCGTGCTGTCGTGCTTCGCCATCGTATTGTCGAATTGTCACCATCGTACTGTCATATTGTCATCATCGTCCTGTCATGTTTCGTGCTTTTCGTTCTCAGAGAAAACACGCTGGCCCTAACGGAACACCGTACATTGATAGGTATACATGTTACGCTCGCTCCATAGTCCGAGCACGATAAACAACTTTCGTCAGTTTAAAAATACAAGCACAGACCATAGGTAAACATAGATAAACTCAAGTCATTAACCAAATAATTACAATAAAAATGATACAAATTATATTTTATGAGATATTATCTTCGTTTGACACTATAGCACAGTCGGTAAGACCGCCTATTACGATGACAGTGAATTCAGCAAGTGGGTTTGAAACCTAGTGGAAACTGTTTAAATTTTTTTATTTAAGTTCTAGTTTTTTTTCTGTCTGACAAGATTAATATACGCATATGATTATGATTACGCATATGTACTTAACGATATTGTATTTTTGTCACTTTTAAAAGTTGTTAAAATATTCATACATTTATAATAAGAAATGAAAAATAAAAAAAAATAAAAAATGAGATAGAGAAATAAATGTATTGAGATCAAGATACTTCGATGAAAAAGTAACATAAATAAATCAGTCAAATAAAAAACGCATTATCATGATGTAGTTTCGTAGAAGGAAAAACATCTATTTTTGAAGTCCGTTAGCCCTCAGCCAGCTATTGTGACAAATATTACTTACTTTTACAATTATCAATCAAAAGCACAATCAGTAGGATGTGCTATATTTCATTTACCTATATAGTATTAAGATGAACTATTTCGTACTATAAATAAATATGAAGAAACTTCTGTTTATCGTGTTCGGATTAAAGGTCAACATATAATCAGATATGTGTAATTAAGTGCACGTGCACCATCCTACGTTGATTGGTATTGACATACCTGTAAACAGAAGTACAAGAAAAGCATTGATGCAAAGCATCAAAAGGCGTCCAAGCAAGAAATTATACCATCGTCGGATACCCACGGCCGAACCATTAACATGTTATGTTACATGTTAATCAACCGTAGATATCCGACGATGTCATTATACTTGCTTTCAGAATATTAACTTAATCTGATTTAAGATATTGAGCTATATATGGTTTTCTACAAAGTATTTAACCAAGTTTAAGCGTTAATTCGAATCATTTTAACAGTAATTCATTTTAACGGTTTTTATGAATGTAAAGTAAACTTTCGCCTCTTAATTCATAAGGAAAATTAAGCTGTATAAGTTGTAAAATCCGGTTAAATGAAAGAAAGGACACTCTTGATATTTATTTTAGATACATTTAAATATAGACACTTGTTAATAGTAATAATTATTATTGTTTCATTGTTTAATGTCACATGAGAACAATTTTTATCTTATCCTTGATTGGACATTTAACTAGGACTATCGCTGTAACTTCATATATCTATCCTATATCAAACTGTACGTATGACTTATTTAATCACACAAAGATGACGCGAGGGTGTTTAATATTATGTTGTTACGCTGGAATATTATTTGCAAGTTTTTCGCCGGTAAAGGGACTCATTAAACCGCCGAAGAAATACGTAGTGAATCTTGACGTGGAACCAGAGAAAAGATGGCAGGAAGTTGCTTTGGATCATACATTTCTAATCAAGGATATTCAATCAATCGTGACGTATGTTATTAGTTTAGTAAATATTTGTTGATATTACGTTTTGATTTAATACGCATGCTATCTTTATACTTTAGCTCGTGTTTAAGGAATCACAGTATTAAGATTTCAATTTTGTTTATTGTTTAATAATACTTTATTGCTATTTACATGTATATACAATACAGATACAAATTTCATATGTATTCTAAACAGCAAAAGCAAACGGGTTGGGCCCAAGTTCGGACGGCCCTCCCCGGTAGATAATGTAACGAAAAACCTATATTCAATTCTTAATGGCATATAACATAAACATAGTGTATATCATGTATAATTGCTGATGGAATGAATCGATTTTTAACAATATACAATAAAGTAATCGAAAATAAAGAAATCATCGTTCGTGTATTTTATAAATTTATAAATATGTTGGCCAGATTCGTTGATATATTATCTTTATGTAAAAAGATTTCATATTGCATTTTTTGTCAGACCGACATACTTTTAGTTTAAAGGGAAAATTGCACTTAACTAAATTTGAGATCGTAATTGATGTTTAAGGAGACATTTTGCCCATCCAAGTGTAATATTATAGTGTATGTATGAGATATACAATATTAATGTTCATTCAAACGTAGTTATTTTTAATCTTAAAGATTATATATACCCCACATTACCCATGTACCAGTCTATAAATATCTGTCGGAATTGATTTAGAAGTTATACACTTTTTTTGTTTTATGCGTTTTTTATATATATTTTTCCATTTCAATCATTGTTAGGCTTAATCAAATTACAAGTAAACTAAATTTTAATGAAACACAACTTTATCTTCCTGTAATCTATAGGGTTATCTCAGGACGAAATTTACATAACATTAAAACATGATACTTCTTTTGGGGTTTTTGTCTCGAAAAATTGAATAAGGGAAAATATGGTCACCGTTTTCTTTCTGACATAATTACTTTTTATCTGTGCTAAAATGATGTTTGATACATGTTTCGGTATTACCGACGCGGCGACGCCATATGTACAGTGATTTCTATATAATATGTTTAACCTGGAGAAGAATTGTTTTTATTTCTTGCTTGTTTTATTTTCAGTTCAGTGATACCCAAAGATATACTGCCGTATATAGAACTTATTGCCACAGACATAGATTATTATCTACCTAAACCCTATGCTGGTGAAATGAGAGGTACATGCACAATTTACCTTTACTTTCTTGTCGACATAAAATGTAAACTATGGTAAACATAATAATAATCAAATGTAAATTATTTGAAGATACGTTTATTGGACGCGGGACTATTTCTAGTTATCGAAAACAAAATGCTCATTTAATTTATTTATAAGTATATGTCTTTTGTTTGATCTCTTATTTAACAGCTTTTACAATCTATGTAGGGGCATAAACAGTTCTTTCTTTACCCAGGCGAGGGACAATGCCTGATTTCTCGACGAAAATAACCCGCTTTTTTAATTGCCTTAAGCTTAGCTACATAATACGCGGAAAAATACTACTGACGATCAATTTGTGGTGTCCGGTTTGTTTCCTTTTTCCTTAACCGCTTTATTTATGACTATCCATGTTACATAAGTCGAATATTCGAAGCAAAAATTGATTACAAGTTGTTAGAGATAAAAAAAATTGCATGTTCATAAGATAAATTGAAATTTTCTTCCGATTTCGTTTTTGAATTTGTTTAACGAAAACAGCACGGTCACATCACTATTAAGCACTGTAACAGTCAGGAAATACAATACGAACAAACAAATCTTCTCATAAACGATAAGATAAGAAAGAAACATTGTTAAACTTGCCTGCCAACATGTTTTTACCTCGTTAATATATCACTTTGACTCATATTGCATGTATTATACCGATACTTCCGATGTATCTTAATGTTTGATATATATCTTGCCTAATGTTGTCATATCGTATGTATCAACATATCATATTATACTGACTTTGTCCGACAAAAATACCGAAATCGAATATCGTACCTGACAATAATGCAGATACCTTTTGAATAATAGAAAATCGTGACAATAATGCCGATATCAATCGAATAAATCGAATATCTGACCTGATATATCTTGAATTAATAGAATATTTTGCCTGACAACAGTACCGATATCCCTCGAAAAAATTGAATATCTTGCTTAACAAAAATGTCGATAATTCTCGAATAAATGGAATATATTGCTTAACAAAAATGTCGATAATTCTCGAATAAACCGAATATCAAGCCTCACAATAATGCCGATATCTCTCGAATAAACCGAATATCTTGCCCGACAATATTTCCGATATCTCTCGAAAAAATGGAACATCTTGATTACAAAAGGTCGATGTCTCTCGAATTAATCGAATATCTTCCCTAACAATAATACCGATTTCTCTCGAATAGAAAGAATATCTTGACAATAATGCCGATATCTCTCGTAATAATAGAATATCTTGCCAGACAGTAATGCCGATATCCATCGAAAAAATCGAATAACTTGCCTGACAATAATGTCGATATCTCTTAAATAGCTTGACCAGAATGCTGCTATCCCTCAAATATATCGAATATCTTGCCTAACAATAATGCCGGTATCTCTCGAAAAAATTGAATATCTTGCATGACAATGATGCCGATATTCCTAGTATAAATCGAATATTTTTCTTAACAGTTATACTGATATCTGTCGAATAAATATAATATATTGTCTAACAATAATGTCGATTCTCTCGAATAAATCGAATATCACGCCAGACAATAATTGATATGCCCATATCAGTTTGATACATATTACATGTAATAAACCGATACGTCCGATGTATCTTAATATTTGATATATCTTGCCTAATGTTATCATATCGTATGCATCAACATATCGTATTATACTGACTTTGTCCGACAAAAATACCGAAATCGAATATCGCACCTGACAATAATGCCGATACCTTGTGAAAAAATAATATATTCACAACAATTCCGATATCTCTCGAATAATAGTATCTTACCTGACAATAATGCCGATACATTTAAAAAAAAGAATATCTTTACAATAATGCCGATATATCGCGAATGAATCGAATATATAGCCAACCGGTATCTCTGTCTAATAAATGGAATATCTGTCCTGATTATAATGCCGATATCTCTCGGATAAATATAGCTTGCCTGACAATAATATCCCTCCCTCGAGTAAAAAGAATAACTTACCTAACGAAAATCGAATATCTTGCCTCATAATAACGTCGATATCTCTCGAATATCTCTTGCCCTGTCTTATGTTCATTTTATTTGTCTAGCTCTGAATTTTTGTCTTGTCTAATAAACGCCGAATGATCAAATAGTAGTTCAAGCTAGAAATATTCTAGCTATAAATGCAATCGTTGTCTATCTTTAACACCGGAATATCTAACATTAATAATATTTATCTTGCTATAAATATACATGTATATCTTGCCTGACGATAACACCGATATCTCTCGTATTTTAGATATATTTATCAAGTTTACAGTCATGTATATCTTGGCTAGCTAAAACGCCGATATCACTTACATTAATTAAGTTAATCTTACTATTCATATAAAAGTTTATTTCTTCTAACGCAGATGTCTACTATAGAAATATTATTTTTATTTACAAACAAGTGAAGCCGATTCTTATCTACGTATGAATTAATTATTGCGAACAATAGATGAAATAAAATGCGTGTTTTCATTTTTTTCGTATTTTACTGTAAAAAAATTCTAACTGCAGTAAAATATATTTTTCATAAATTTCACTGGTGTTTTGCTGGACCACAGTGCGCTCTAAAGTCGACCAAAACATGCACACATAATTTAAGGAGAAGTCTTTCAAAAGAAAATTGTAAATAAGAACCCCCCCCCCCCCCACAGAAATTGCAAGTGTTTTCTCTAAATACAGGGTTTATTTTTAATAATGAAAATAAACCTTATATTTATAATAAAACTTAAATACCCTCTGTAGTTTTACAGTATGCATGTATATGGACCAATCCTACCGGTAAAAGTCGATAAAAGTTGTAAAGTTCAAACAAAGACTCTTCTCTCATTGAATGTTTTGATGTTTTAATTTATTTCTGATATATATTTAGCTACCAGAATATTTTTGACAATACAAACGTTCAAAATGGTCGCAAGAATATAATACTAGTCTAGTCATATAGAAAATTACGAAAGCCTTATAGTATCAAATGAAATGAATAAAAATATTAAAAAGGCGTTATATAACGCGAATTAAAGGGCGCAATTACGCGAAAAAAATCGTAATAACGCGAATAGATGCATAGTTATGCAAAACGAATGGCGTCAAAACGTAAATAAAGGCGTAATAACACGAAAAGCGTTTTAACGTGAAACAAAATGTATTATTACGCGAAACAAAATGCGTAATAACGCAAAGCACGCGAATCAAAATGTGTTATGATGCGAAACAAGGGAGTAATAACGCGTTTAATTCACGTTTTAAATAACGCCTTTACGTTTTCGAACTTCAAATTATTCGGTACTATTGGGCTTTTGTAGTATATTGTTTGTCTTTACTGAGTGATGACGAGAAAAAAGTCAGCGTGAAACAATCCTTATAGAGTTCGTAACTGTCCCGATGTGGGATAAACGGTTATACTGTATCATGTCAGGTACAAACCATCTGACTATTAATATCGTGCCTGAAATGAATAATATATAACTTATATCCCTCTTTAATGATATATTTATGTCTTATATTTTCGATCCTTGAAGATCGTTCAGCACGACATTATAGTTGGGTATACATTTTATATGGTATTTTTAGTTTCTTGAATTTGGACTTTTCAATTTGGGTGGTTTCAGTATTCCTACTTGAATACTGTATAATCACCCTTAGGATATGTTGCCTGCTTTTTAATTTTGTCTTTTGACGTCTTATCTGTGATATGCAGGCTTCATAACCTCAGATTCCCTTTCAAAATTCCATTTTATTTAGTTCCGCACATTGTTTTCTCGTTTAGGGCACACGCTTTCATTTACTTGGGGACCATACGCCGCTTTTCATGGAATGACACTCCTGTGTCACGTTGAAGGTTCCATGATAACCGCCGTATGAACACATCTGCGGATGTTTCTAAATTCAAAATTTCACCATTTTAGTGTTTAAATGTTGAATTTTGCTTAAGCCGGTGCTAGGGGCGTGGACTGTAACTTGCAATTTCCATTACCGTCCATGAACAGGCTCAATCAAACCGAGCCTGCAACATTTTCAATTTTGCCGTGTAGGGCTTTCTTTAAGGATTCTATATTTATCTATTTTGGGCTTTCTTTAGGGATTCTGTTTTTCACTATTTAATTAACTTTTCATTTTCAGGATTTGCTAAGGTATTGAACATAAGTGTAGGAGATATTGTCATGACCAATCTTATTTATGATGTCTCTGCGTAAGTCAATCTTAAACTAATTGACGTTTCTCCTTAATTATGGTATTAGATACAGACATGTAAATAGTTTATTAAAGAGTGATAAAACGAAACAACATAACAAACTTCAATTATAACGAACTGAATGTCTTTTTACTTGGGGACAATATGCCGCTTTTCATGGAATGGCACTTACGTGTCACATTGAAGGTTCCATGATAACCGTCATATGAACACATCTGCGGATGTTTCAAAATACAAATTTGTACCAGTTCGTGTAAAATGTTGAATTCTACTTAAGTCGGTGTTAGGGGGCATGAACGGTAACTTGCATTATCCAGCACCATCTATGAAAAGGCTCAATTAAACCGAGCCCTTACCATTGTCAATTTTGCCGTGTTTGGCTTTCTTTAGGGATTCTGTTTCTCTCTATTTTGTAGTCCGTATAAGGCATGACAAAAAATGTAGATCTATGTTTTCTTCAGATTTTGCACAAGCATAATATCACAAGACGACAAAGGTCAAATTTGGCATTCCAGAAACTTAGACTACCCCTTCACAGGTATTCTAGAGAACATAACTATTGCTGTAGATTTCCAGTCACGTGGTCAGGTAAGGTTGATTTTCTTAAGATTATTCTCTTATGAGTTTCAAACCGAGTCTGCAATTCTTATGTTATTTTGTTGTGATTAATGCTTCCGAGGGATCACTTTATTTCCAGAATTTTTTCTATCAGATATCGATATGTTGCGATGTGATTTATCTATAGCATTTATCTTTAAACTTGAATGTGTTTTGTTGAATAAGTAATGACTGCAAGACAATTTTCAAGTTTATCAATAGTTCAACCATTTTTGTGACAAACTTTAAACATATAAACAGTTATCAGAACCAATGGAATTACTTTTCTTCTTTTGAAAATTACCACTAAATTATCTATAGCATATTTGTATACACAGACGGTGTACAGTGTGGTAACCTATGCAGGGTATATCGGAGCTTTAACTGGACAACGTCCTAATGTTTTTACCATCACCGTTGATGAAAGAGGTAAATATACAGTAAATCAAGTCAATTTTAACGTTCATTACTGGCCTGAATCCATATGCATGACAGAGTGGTAAAGAAATACTGAATTCTGAATGATTGCCAATCACGCCTTGGATTCGAATCCCGACGGTAGACATGATTCTTGTTCTGCCATTGGTTCTTGTTGCTGGGTCATATGGGGGTTGCGTTCATTGAACGCCGCCTTTCCTTGTTGATCTTGTTTTTCATATTTTATGATGTTGCACTTATACATTATCCCTCATGAACAGACTCAATCAAACCGAGTCTGCAATTATAATGTAATTTTGTTGTGATTAATGCTTCCGAGGAATCACTTTGTTTCCAGATTGGTTATTCAGATAATAAAACTGACAACTTGAAACTTCGAATGGAAAGGAGTTTACAGTAGCAGCATGACCTCATTTCTTTTTAAATTTTCTTGAAAAATCAGCATACATGTAGTTCACATAGTTACCCGAAATAAAGACTGAAGAATCTTTTTTCATTGATGCCCCTATAGTGTAAATATAACATTCGGCGGGTCTTAACACTCCGTTTGTATAACAGATTGACGTCTGCAAGGCCGTGAAATACCATTAATCACAAATCGGCACGAATAATGCAGATTATCGTTCAAATGCTTTGTAATTAATCATTCAGGCATATCGGCCGTCGTGATTATATTCCTACAAATTCGAACACGAATGGTGAATTATTCTACAACAATGAACTCAAAATTTATATATATTTTCTTAATATATTGTTCTGAAAATCACATATTTGCCAGATTTATGTTTTGTGATCACAAATACACATAGTTTTAATATTTTTATATTAGACCAGGGGTCAATTATATGGAATCTTGTGATCGGAATTCTTGACAAAAATGTGGTACCAGTGTCTTTCCTTGTTAGAGATGTGAGTATCAGTTGAGCCTTTACCTTTTATACCAAGACACTTGTTAAGGACAATAAATGTTAACGCTTTAATCCAAATTGAACAATTAATGAAGTAATTGTTATTATATTTTGTTTCAAAGGAATTTGCAACATTGACAAACATGGACTTGCCTGGACGATTCGGCAAAGCGATTTACCCTTTACCTCCGAAAGAGATATATTTGTTGTTTACCAGGCATGCAATAGCAATGCCAGATTACTGCAAAATATAAGTAGTACGTTAACGTAATAAGAACTTCGTTATAGATTATCGTATTAGATTATTTACCAAATGTGTTTCAGGCCCTTGCTAATGACACGACGTTTGAGGCAGCCATTAACCGTTTGTCCTTCACACCAACAGCAGCAGATGCGTATTTCATTATGGGTGGGGTAAAACCAGGAGAAGGTGCTGTCATAACAAAGGGACGGCTTGCACCAGATGATGTCTGGAGACTAGATCCAGCTAATGGAAGGTATCGGAATGTCGTTTTTTATGTTACATCGTTAGCAGAATTTTCATGGAAATAAAAGTTTAACACATTTTTGGACAGAAACAAAATGTAACATCAAAAACTTAAAAAATAGATTTATGTATTAAATAGTATTAAAATCAAATGTTAATACTTATTCTTGCATAGTAATAATTTATAAAATCAATATTCCGTAAAAAGTTTTAACATAATTTTTAAATTGTACATTTCTTTTAGATGGTTCCTGGTTGAAACCAACTATGATCACTGGACACCTCCGCCACCTAATGACAATAGAAGGTAACTGGCACTTTCCAGTACCATCCATGGACAGGTTCAATCAAACCTAGCTTGCAACATTTTCAATTTCTCTCTAATTTTTCGTTTTCCTGTGTTTCACAATACTTTTACCATTTGCAAAAAATTAAACATTTTAAGTAATTACTTACGAAGAGCTCCTCCGAAGTATTCAATACAGTAATAAGTTGACTTTAACTCGCTTGAGTTTTACATCACACCGGCACTAGAAGGTCATATGGTGAATTGCAAGGAAGGCCTCAGGTGCACCTATGTGTATTATTTCACGCACAAGGGGAACCCCAGTCAAACCACTGACCTGCCGTTTGTTAGCTGGACGACATAATTCAAAGTCCCTGACAGGAATCGTACCCAAAGGGGTGAGAAGCAAGTGGTTCGAATTCAGTCACTTTAAAAACACGGTCTTAAGGCCCCATCTAGTTGACTGTTTTGTCTAAAACAGAAATATATCCGAGTGAATGCTTGATATTAATATGTGTACAAATGATATTTTAATGACTAGAGTTATCTGATAAAAACGCTTATAAACAAATTACCAATTAAAAGTTCACCATTAAAACACATCCATAGGGACACGGGCAGAATAATCTTGAAATTAAGAATTCGTTAATATCAAATTAAATTCCTTGATAGTTCAGAATCAAATTTTTAAACACACATTTTATAGCATAATTTAATAAAATCTTCTTAACAAGATTTTGATAAATACATTATTTCTATTATCCTTTACTTTTGTAATTGTTTTTCAGAGATCCAGCCATTAAAGCGATATCAAGTTTAGGACAGGCCAACATAACCGTAATGAATCTGTTCAATGTAATGTCAACTCCTAAAGTGTTGAACTCGTAAGTATACATTATTAACGTTTCGATGATTCGAGTATTTGCAGTTAATATGTTAAATGACTCAACTCAATTCTTTTACATCATTACCCGTCACGCGACGCAGCTTTTTTTCTTGAGAGAAAGCAAAATTAGTAAGCTTCAAAAAGGTTGGTAACTTACATCTAGTACTTAAATGCCTTCCACCAGAAGACCATATCATTGTGACGATTGTTAATGTTACTTTGTTAATGTTACAAAAAACTAAACCAAGGAAATGTCAATCTGTTATGTTTATGATATTACCTAGCTCGTTCATATAATATATATATTGATTTAACCATAATTCTCATATTATGTAACAATCACTGCCAAACTATATTAACAGATATATATTAAGTGTCTTATTTGGTATCAACTGTATTATGTAATAATCACTGCCAAACTATATTAACATTTATATATTAAGTGTCTTATTTGGTATCAACAAGCTTAAATTTTCATATCACCAAAAAAATCTTAATGTCACCAATAAAATATTAATGTCACCAATAAAATCTTAATTCACCTATTAAAATCTTATACATTACAGTGTCACATTACTAACTTTGTTTTATTTCATATACAGACCTAATACTTTGTTTATTCACCGGGAACCCATCACTGATGCAACCGAGAATAAGGGTGATAATTCTGACAATATATCACCGTGATATTACAAGCCATTCTTGTAGTTATGGAATTGTAAGTCAATATTATTAATACTACGAATCATAGGTAATCTGAGCAATTGTACAACTCCGATACATTGTATTAACTAGTGCAATATACAAACATAGTTGTTGCCCTTGTGCTATTAATACTTAATAAGGAAAAATACATTTATTTCCATATTAAACGATTGAACTAATTATTTCATGCTTTGCTCATGTGCTGATATAGAATGTTTTACTTTTAAAATTTATATCAAATGATATTTGTGAATAAAATGCTTGAAATTCAATTAAATATTAGTTTGTCTCCGTGAAGATATAAACATATACTCTGTTAGTTGACATTAACAGTTCATAATCGTATATTGAAAGATTACCTTAGAAATACCGCACATAGTATGATTACAAAGGAGCGTAGACAGGTTTTTTCACGAGAGGGGTTCACAAAAGTTTGACAGGGGTTAATGCAACAAAAAAAAATCTGGAAACAAAGTGATCCCTCGGAAGCATTAATCACAAAATTATATGAAAATTGCAAACTCGGTTTGATTGAGTCTGTACATAAGGGATAATGAAAAATGCAACATCCCTCACGCCCCCTAGCACCGGCTTGAGCGGTACTCAATTATCAACACTTAATAGTGCTGGCAACAATGATCCCGAAGGACCAGAAAAATATAAGAGTGAAGTATGGGGCAACATTTTACAGCTGCCACACGGCACTTGACACCTGCTGTTGTGAAGTAAATATTAGGGAAACAAAGTGATACCTCGGAAGCATTAATTACAACAAAATTATATGAAAATTGCAGACTAGGTTTGATTGAGTCTGTACATGAGGAATAATGAAAAAAACAACAACATCCAAGTGGAGATGGTGACGTCTGTTGAAATTGTTATAATTACCAGAGGGACAAGTTTTCAAAATTTTGCTGACTTTATACTAGTTTTTTGCAGACTTTAAAATCTAAATCGCAGATAAGTTCCACATCGCCAAAAGCTTCGCAATATAACCGTCCTTCCCAACATCCCGCGCCATGTTTTCAAATCATCATTCTTACTTTTTAAATTGAATTTAGTAAATTTACAAAATGGATGTGGGTTTGGGTATAAAATAATGTTTTGTCTAAGCAGTGTAATTGGGAGCAGTGTTACCTTTTAACGTTATTATTCATCCAAAAGCTTACGTTGTTTCATATTTAAACAGTGATTTTATCGCTTAATAAATAAAATCACTGTTTAGAGTTCGAATGCACGACATCAACAAATAAATGCTGCCGTTCCTGATATCAAGCTAAACTGTGCCTGAAATGTTTCCATACTTATTTTTCAGTGCGTCACATTCTTAATGAATACGCTCACATTGTCTAATATATAGATCGCTTTACAGTGATTTTGGAAAAATACGGATCGTGTTTAGAGTACGGTTTTTATATATTTAACTATACGTGAATATCAAGAACAATAATCATGTATATTATTATCGTTACGTTTTATTTTGCCGTCAAGTGGCTTGCGTGAGGCTATCAATACCGATCCCGTAAACACATATGTATACTGAAAGATACCAAAGCAAAAAACAACATCAAAAAAAAAACAACACAAAAACAAAATTTCTGGTACAATCAGTATAGTTTTATGTTTCAGTACATTATGATATAATGATATGTTCAATTGATATAAATTTCAAAATTTCGATACATTTTTTGTATATTAATAAAACATTTTATTTATGTGTGTACATGAATTATACATAAGTGTAAGGTACTCTTATGGCAACTCCACGGTTTCATTATGAAACATATCTTTCAGTGTTTCCTAGATCTAAAAACAAAACTCAGAAATAGCCTGTACAAGTAAAAGGCAGTTTTAACCACTCAGAGAAATGACAGTAAAACTAAATACTCTTTTATAGCAGCATTTGTTGTTTTAACATCTGACTAGTATTATATTGCTGACATCCGGTTACTTATTCGTTACTTGTATTAGGTTAGATTAACAATACAAAAAAAAGTATAATTTTACTTTAAGCAATGTGTAACCAATCGGTCACTTATAAAATTCTGGCATTTAGTGTCCCTCTAATAACAGGATTTTGTATTAAAATGAAACGTCTGATCTGATTATCAATAATGGCATTTGTGTCATTTTACATATGTTTGAAGGACTTGATAAGACTTAAATCATTTACAAATGACAACGGCTGCCTGTATCTAGCTAATGTTAACTGTTACAGATAATTGTAGAGTGCTCTAAATCTCCGTGCTAATGAGAATCTCACGATAACAAAATGGCGATAACACATATCGAAAGTGTTTGATATGTATATTTATTTAACGCAATGAAAACAACAAAGATTGTCTATCTTTATGATTATATAATATTTTGTTTTTTTTTTCTCAAAATAGCGAACTATCAATAACTGACCGCTTTTTGTAGGTATGTATCAATTAAAAATGTTTAACGTTGCGGCATGGTTGGGTGATTCATGCTTAGACAAGCTGCTGTTTCACAGAGGCAGAAACATTACACCTCTTGCTTCTAGGAACGGATATGAAAGTGTTTAAATAAGCTAAAACCTTTTAATTAAATTACTAAAAGTTAGTATCAAATTAGCGTAAAACCTCAGCCAAACATTTATACAAATGCATCGTGTTAGATACATACAATATTATAGTTCTTCAGCATAAAATTACAATATACCTAACACTTGTATGTTTGAACGTTGAGAGCGTTCCTCTTATATTATTTCAGTTGGTGTAAGCGGTGTTTATCGCCTATTTAAAACCGGTTTGGAGTTTTTGTATACGTAGGAATTGTATAATTTGACCACGAAGGTTGTTGATTAATTCATTATGCATCAAAACAACAAACTAATGATGAATGCCCTGTAAACACAGTTCCGTTTCTTGTATGACAATATAAAGGAGACCAATAACGTTATTTTAGTACTGAGCTGTTACTTTTTGTATCCTGCTCTCGCTAAAGTATACAAAAGAAATGTAAGAAAAAAATGATTCACCTTATTTTTCGTCAATTATTTTATCAATTGTTTAACAATATAAACTTCTGAGTCAGTTATACTAGATGATATTATATTTACATCAGTGCTTGATAAATCTATCTTCATACCCCTATCCATGTGTTTAAAATGAACGTCAATCTGGTAACTTGAGAATGGATTTGAATGCTATTTGGTATGACGTCATTCACGTTGCCTCAATTGCGTAGATTTTATTATAGATTTGATAAAATCGTGAGATGCAAGTTAGTATCTTAATAAAATCTAAACAGTAACAAAAATTATCAACACCAACATGCGTAAATTGTACCTTAATAAGAATTTTGTTAAATCCCCTAATTATCAGAGAACACATTATAAAAAACAGCCAGTTTAGTTATTCAAATTTAATTCTTCTTTATGTATAATATCAGAATAACCAAAATATTAAACACACATATGTGGAGTGAGATAAAACAATATAGCCATTTGTGCATTAAAATCCTTGACCCTAAAACAATTAAGGTTGTATAGTAAAACAGCGAAACAAAATAGGATAAGGTGTTAACATAACAGTCATTATTAAATGAACACGGTATAGTTACTCTTATCAATGAAGTGGAATGGTTTAGAATAACTGATAAGATCATGTGGCAAGTAACAGTTACCGGCCAATTGTTTGAAAATAAAACGGTTAAGTGTTATTAAGTCAAAACTAATATTATTATTTGAAAATACTGTAAAAGACACGAGTTTTATTTACTGTGAATTCTACATTGCACATTTATGTTGTGAGTTTAGATTTATTAGAAAAAAAAAGTTCTCTAAAATCATGACGAGCCAATCGTGTCGGACTTATCATTCTTAAAACTTGGTAAAAATCATTCTGTAATGCCTTATATACATATGAAGTGAATAAACCTGTCTTCATAAGTAGCAATATGTAAACTTTTACACTTCAATGTGAGTACCGTGCCCATTTAGATTAAATAAATGTGGATTTCTGTTCATCGGATTTATCAACAACAAAAAGCAAAAAGAATACTTATTATATTTCATGTAATAAACTTATATTGAAATGTGTTTTTCCTCAAAAACCCTCTATGGAAAATTTGCTAAAAGTCGAAGATCATCGGAGTAAAACATACAAGGTAAATATCATAAATGGAGACAGACTCAGTAGATTGCCGTGCCGACAACACAAGTTAAAGAATGGAAGACACGCCACGCGCGTAGAATTAATAGTGCTGCTAAGTCAAGCCGAGTGATTGTACTCACAAAATCCAAGAGGTTGTCAGTGGATGACATAGTTGACGTCGAGATGACCCATTGACCACGACCGAGCCCCTCCACCCCGATCTTATAGATGAATGAAATTATAACAAGAATAATAACATACATAAATTATTTTTACATATATTATTGTATAGTTTTTTCATGGTCAAGAGGACTAATGGCTCAAAACATGTTTGTCACATAGCGTAAAAC